TTGCATTGGACAATTTTATATTAAAAATTTATGCTACGTCAATGCATTGACCATTTTTCTTTCAAAAGTTTTTGCATTGGAAAGTTTTTAATAGAAAAGTGTCTGTATATAACAAAATTCCCTAAAAGAACATCTGCATTGGACAATTTTGTAGAAAAAACTTTTTGCATTGGACAAATTTCTATAATAAAGTTTATGCATTGAACAGTTTCGTATAGCTAAGTTAAACGATTGATCAGTTATCTTTATAAAAGTGTTTACATTGGACAGTTTTTTATATAAAAGTGTTTGCATTGGATAGTTTTCTATAGAAAAGTGCTTGCATTGGACAGATTTCTATAGAAAAGTTTTTCCATTGGTTAGTTTTAATACAAAAGTGTAAGCATTGAACAATATTCCATAAGTGTGTATCTGCATTGGCCGATTTTCTTTAAAAAAATGTGTACATTGTAAAATTTTCTATAAAAAGTTTAAGCATTGGACAGTTTTCCATTGAAAGAATGTTTGCATTGAACAGTTTTTATAAGAAAAATCGATGCATTGGGCAGTTTTTAATATAACGCCATAAATATGACTATCCATTGGATTATTTTGTGGAAAAAAGAAGTTTTGCATTGAATAATTTTCTATTAAAAATTTATGCTTCGTCAATGCATTGAGCATTTTTCTTTCAAAAGTTTTTGCATTGGACAGTTTTTAATAGAAAAGTGTCTGTATTTAACAAAATTCCCTAAAAGACCATCTGCATTGGACAATTTTGTAGAAAAAACTTTTTGCATTGGACAAATTTATATAATAAAGTTTATGCATTTGAACAGTTTCATATAGCTAAGTTAAACGATTGGTCAATTATCTATTTAAAAGTGTTCGCGTTGGACAGTTTTTTATATAATAGTGTATGCATTGGATAGTTTTCTATAGAAAAGCGCTTGCATTGGACAGTTTTCCATTGAAAGAATGTTTGCATTGAACAGTTTTCAAAATAAAAGTGTCTACATTGGACATTATTCGATAAAAGATGGTCTGCATTGAGCAGTTTTGGAGAAAAAATGTGTTTGCATTGAACAATTTTTAATAAAATGACGTTTGCATTAGACAATTTCTTATAAAAATTTCTAAATTGATCAGTTTTGTATAGATACGTCAATGTATGAAACATTTTGTTATAAGAGACTATTTGACAATTAGACAGTTTTTAATAGAAAATTGTCTTTATTGAACAATATTGCAATTTTGTAGAAACAATTTTTAACATTTGACGATTTGCCATAAAAAACTTCTATATTGGAACCATTTCAATAAAAAATGTATGTACTGAACAGTTTCTTTAGAAATGTGTTTACGTTGGACAGTTTTTAAAAGAAAATTGTCTACATTGGACAGTATTCGATAAAAGATTTTTTTTCGAAAATCACTTGTATTAAATAATTTTAATTAAAAAAGCGTTTACATTGGACAATTTTATAAAAATATGTCTGCTTTCAACAAATCTCTTTAAAAAAGTTCTGCATTTAATAGATAAGTCAATGCATTGGACAGTTTTCCATAAAAAAGTGTTTGCACTGGACAATGGTCCATAAAAAGTAATTCCATTTGACATTTTTGTTGTAATTTAGAAAACATATAAAATAAGCCTATTTCAAATAAAAGAGTGTAAAGTTTTGTTCATACTTTCATCCATTACTAATACAAACCATAATTTACTTACGATCTTATTCACTGCAGATATTTAAGTTGTTTTCATTTTTTTGCAGAAATCTCAAACTTTTTGGCAAAATCTAATACGAAAGTTGATTATAAACCATTTAAAAACTGAAACGAGATGTAGCCTATAAATGTATAAAATTAGGGGTATAACCAAAATCTTCTTTTTGAATATGATTACAGCTATAAAACCAGTTAGTTGGGCATACCTTGTGGAATAGATCATTTAAGAACTTTGGTCAAATGTGGCTTGATTGTCACAC